CACGCTTTTAGTGGCCATTTCATGATGATAAAGTAATCAAAATTAAAATCACAAAAAAAATCAGGGACCAAATAAAAAAGTCATGAGGGCCATACAATCAAATAAAAAAGTAATAAATAAAGCGTCACGTTGCAAAAAAGAACACCTTTAGTTTATAGATATTGGCCGTGCTCGTAACTTTTAACGATATACAGGCTGGGTCCAGTTTATGACGGACACGATTCAACATACGTCAGTATTTTTATAAGACATTGATGTACAAATTGTTTATACTGATAACATCTGACTTTCCGATGAATTATTTAAGCTTGCTTAGAAACTAATGTAGAAAATGAAAACGACAATACATATTATCGATTCAAAATAAAAATAAAAGTATATATAGTCGAACTATATAAGTGAGTACAACACGTGTTAATGTCACGGTTTCTATGATTATTCGGTACTAACTGTCGCATGCGATTCTGTCCGCGCGGAATTAAAAAAAAATCTTATTTAGTAGCCTATATGTTCCAGGTTGTTAAGAAATGAATGGTCGAAAAATAATCGGTAGTAAAATAACTTGTATTGTCCATGGTATCCAATTACACTACGGTTTATTTACATTCTCTCTGAGGAAAAACATTTTGACATAAGATTCAAACTTAAAAATATAAAAGTTTCGAATATTTGAATACAAGAAGTTCATATAGTTTTCTAGTGAACCTCATTTCTTAACACAGGTTATGTTCTACATCTATTCCATATTTCAGCGAGATACATCCGTTTTGTAGATAACTTCAAATAAACATCAATCTACACCAGTCTTTCCCAAAGTGGGCGATAACGCCCCCTTGTGGGCGCTGCAGGTTTCAAGTTGCGGGTTATAGTAAAAGTTTCGTTTAGAATTCTCCGTTAATATATATGCATATATAGGTCACAATAATTAATTAATTTAATTTAAAGTTATAGTGGTTTTTAAATATGTGAAAATATGGGGGGCGCTAAAAAATTATTTATTCTCAAAGTGGGTAGTATACAAAATAAGTTTGGGAACCACTGATCTAAATATTCGCATTTACAATATTAGTAAAAAGTAAAATAAGTTGGTGATGAAATTGTCATTTTTCGAGTCATTTTTAGCTCTGTAGAGAACAATAGACGTTGGCAAAGAACGAGCTGAATACAGTTGTATGAAATAACAGTCGTATGTCGGAACAAACTAAAGAGATGTATAGAAAACTCACTGAAACAAAGTCGAGCCGAAACACTAATTAATGTTAATTTCACGTCAGACTCTCGAGGGCTCCTTTCATATGATAGCTTTTTGTCATATCTCAGCTTTTTATAGTAGTACATTAGTTACTTTAAAAAATAACCCGATAGTGTTTTGTTTCTTGTTTTTTATTTTTAACGAGTGAACGACAATCAATCAAGTATGGTTGCCTACATGTCACTGAAATTTAGCAAAGATGTAGAACCTCTAGGTACCTAATTACAGTGGTAGAGCCCGCTTTAACACCTTCGCACGAATTGACCCGGCTCGCCCGGTGAAATACCACGACCACACAGAAGACAGGCGTGAAGTGGAAGCAATTCCGCGTTTCGTATGATAACTGAGCGTCCCGGAGGCCTTATTTAGTCCTCCTTCCCTTCCCATCCTTTTTCTTATAAGGAAAGGATGGGAAGTGGAAGTGGACTTTCCGGATAAGAGGATGCATGGGAAGGGAAAATATTTTCTTTCTGTGCATCCTTTCCTCCGTCGATTAAAGGTAGGCAACGCATATTCAATTGCGTGTGTCTATGGGCAACAGTCACTTCGCTATTTCAGCGATTTCATGTGGTCGCTCGCTCGCTTGCCACCTTATGATATAAAAAAATATATTATATATTTTTTTAATCCCGCGCGGACGGAGTCGCGGGAAACAACTTTTACAGATAGTTTATTTTTTTTATTTCAAAAAGGAGTGGAAAAAAAATTTTTTTTTTACTTGTTAAGTACTTTAACTTAGGGTAGGCTTCAAGACCCTCGGTGGGGACGTATAGTGAGCTGATGATGATGATGAAGTACTTTAATGTTAATTAAAAGAAAAAAAACGCAACTGATCTAAAGATAATTAAATAAAAATATCCAAGCAAGTAACGTAGCAAATTCAATAACTATTTGAAAGCATTTTGTTAAACTTATAGAAGCGCACTTCACAAAATCCACTCAAATAAACGTTTGACAAATGGTTGCAATAAAATTTACCCACTGCTAGAATCCCGGCACATAGTTCATAATAGATTAATATTGATCTGATGTATTCGGAAATATAGAACGTGGATTCACAAGACTTCTATATTTGTAAAATACTTTTTTTACATATAACAGAAGGAGGCAAACGAGCAGCGGGAACACCGAGGTGTTCAACGACGCCCATGGACATCAGAAATACTAGAGGAACCGCAGATGCGTTTGTATTAATAGCAATCAGATAATAGCAACCGATCAAGCCGAGGTTCGGCCCTCTCGGGCACCCTTGAATCGGAATGCTAAACGCGTAATGAGTGACAGCTCAAGCCGAGGTCCCCTCTCGGGGGCCCTTGAGACCAGTCACTCCATGGAGCGTCCACCTAAGCGATCTAAGAGCTCGGTGACCTCCCAACCCGGTAACTATAATGAAGTAACAGCCCGAGCCGAGGCTCCTGAGGGAGCCCTCGAGTCTTGTTACTCATAAACGAGGTTCAGGCTAAGCGCCATCTGCGCTCGGCCACCTCAAGCCCGGTGAAGCTGTAAATGCCTCCTCAAGGCAAACAGTGACTACTCAGTCACAAAAAAAAAATATATCAATAAAGAAATCTTTTTCGCGAATTCTTAGGTAATAAAGGAGTTAATTGTGATATAGCTCACTAAAACCTAAGGAGCCTGAGAAGTTCAGATTTATAGCAAATCCAAAGAAAGTTGTCGGTAAAAGGAGTGTTGGTCGCAGAAAGAAATCCTGGATGCGCAAAATGCACAACGGTTGCGAGTGTCGCCCAACTGTTTCGCCTCTCAAGAGACAAAATAAAATATGGAGAACTGATCGCCTACCATCGTTAGTCAGAGTGGCAGAAGAAGAAAGAACACACCAATAATTTTAAGGAAACACCGAAAATCTCTTTGCAGACATTCCTAAAATGCGTTTTGCTATGCCACAAATCAATTTCTAGTCCACTAGTTCTAGTTTTCCTACTCTACTTTTTTGTTATGTTTCTTATCTTCACATAAATTACCTTGTTTATCATGCCATACAATTCCCATAACCTAGAGCCCTAAATGTAGCAGGCGATGTGAAAAGCGCGCTATGAATAACTAAGCAGCTCAAGCGGGTCACAGCCAGACACGGCATAATACAGCTGCGTTCATATTAAACGAACTTCGAACTTTGAAATGAATCTTTGCAGTAGTCAGTCAGCAACAGATTTGTGATACCCCACACCACAAACTTTGATCTATTGGTAACCAATTTGTAGGAGCTTGAATTTTTAGATAAAATTTGGCTTTATTTTAAGGACGAATGCTGATGATTCGAAAAAAAAAAATAGTATCCAATGCCCATCTCATGGCTCTAAACTACCTTCTCACCAATTTTCAGGCATATCGATAAAGCCGTTCTTGAGTTATTAATAGTGTAACTAACACGACTTTCTTTTATATATATAGATTGTAGCAATCACGCGACTTGCTACTGAGATATATTCACTGACTCACTACATCCAGTCCCGAGCGCATGCACACGTCCAATCTTCCCTGCGTATAACACCGGAATGACAAATTGACGGCTGCCCTCTACTGGCGTACATGAGACAATGTACCCATGCTATAGATACAAACTCTACTATAGAATTGATTTCTCGTTCATGATATATTTTTATAGATGTTACGATGGTAGAAGTTACACGTTAAGACATACAATGAATTATTATTTTGGTGTATAACCTGTCTAGTATTAATATAATCCAATGCGTATGTCGATCAAACGAGGTCGCGGACGAAAGCGCAAGCGTGCCAGTGGTCTCGCCATGATGCGTAGGAGGAACAGAGGGGTTTAGTGAGTATGCTTCGCATCCGGAAGAGAATCCCATGACTACTGCTACCCCCCCGTGGCGCGGAGTATGCATAAAGCATTCCCCTCCTAATCCCCCCTAAAAATGCGTATTAATCGACTATAAAATTGATTGAAAATATTAGAACTAGAATTTCAAAATGTTTTCTATTCATCAAAATATTAATTATCCTCCGTAATAAAAAAATTACATGTATAATGTAACGATTAAAAACAAAGCAAATACGTTTTAATTGCTAAAGAATTAAGCAACAATGCATGCGAAGCATACCTAATGCATTTTCACATTGATATCAACTGATATTTCTGCTTTAACATTGTATATATAAAAAATAGGAATAATATAAATGATAGAAATTTGATTTCTGTTCGAGCTATACACTATTACTAAACTGATTTACATACGTTAATAATAACTAAAATAATAATAATAAATTACCGGATATAATTGATATCCATATTAAATTACTAACCACTACAAAACAGATGAATTAATTTATATTAAATATACTAAACCGAACTAAAAACAAAACTAAATAATATAAAAAATCGACCCCAAATCGCTGCGCTCGCATGGTAGGGTTCCCAAGAGGATGGCGGCATTTCCCCGTGGAATGGCCAGACTCAACCTTCGTCGGAAATACTTATCGTGTTATTTAACTTGGATTTAGCTTGGATATACATTAAATCTTAAGTTATGGCTCTCGGAATTACACAATTATTAAGTTGTACGGTCTTTATAATAAATAATCAACACTAACATAGACAAAGTCACAGAAATTATCTAGTCTTAAAATATAATAATGACAGTATTCAGAAAGAAAAATAAAAGACAATTATTAAAGCATTAATTGGAAGTACAATGTTTTAATGGAACATAAAAATGTCGGAGATTTAAGCTACCATTTCGTGTTTATTGGTTATTGAGTATAGATGTCAGGACATGTAATGGAGGAATGTGTAGTTCACGGTACGTTAGCGGCAGTATTGCGTTTAATGGGCGTAGTGGGAATGATGCCCGTGCGATTGGTGTCACTCTCAGGCGCATTCGTTGTTCGCTATTCTTTCGCAAAAGACGTCATTGCTCGTTTGTTTTATAGTTGTTTCTGTAAGTAGATAATATTTTTCAACAGATGTTGTAATATATTGATTTATTGCATTTCTTTGTATTCTAACTAGCTGTCGTCCGCGACTCCGTCCGAGCGATTTAAAAAATAATTATTCCATAAGCAACTCGTAAGAGTTCTCCGAGATTATGTTCTACATCTATGCCAAATTTCATCGAGATCCGTTAAGCCGTTCCAGAGATACCTTCTAACAAACATCCATCCCTCCATCTGTCCATCTAAACATTCGCATTTATAATATACATAAGAAGAATTATAATATAAATAAGAAGTTAATATTAATTTTGTAGAAAAAAACAAAAGACGATAGTATGTGTCAATAGATACGTTATAATTAATTCTTCTTTGGACTACATCTTTTAAAATAATGCAAACAAACGCATGTCATAAGAATAAAAAAGTAAATTTATCAAAAAATCTTTTTTAAGTCATAGCAATATTTTCTATATTCCAACATTTTTCAGGTCTCCTGCTGTTGACATGGGAATTGGTATATCTCGTCCCTAAAATTTTGTCCAAGAACAATACTTCACAGAAACGCCTAATCTTTTTGTTATCAATCATTGGTGTAATTGTTCGGATGGCACTCATATTTTTTGCAGTTTTAAAGGGATACCAACGGACAAATAACTTATGTAGAAATCTCAATAAAATTCAAAAGGTATTTTAATTTACATTAACTTTAACTGCATAAATCACATCATTTAAAATACAATACAATACAAAAAGATCTGAATAATAAAGCCCACTTGTAGCATTTGTTGTGTTGTATTTGGCTCGTTCACGTACCGACACGTGCTGCCGGTCCAAAGGTCTGACATCGACTGACGCCCTCTCTCTCCGGCATGTACTTATGACGTCTACGCTCGAGACAAAAACACTAAATTTATGCATATCCTACACCACTCAATAACTAATTCGATAAAAACCTGCGGCTGCCACAAGGCACCTTGAAATGACCACGACAATGGTAGAAACCAGTACAACAAAATCTGTTGCACGACTTGGTCGGTTCGCCTGGTACAAATATCTCAACCACAAAAGACACGAGTCAAGTGGAAGAAATTCGACATTTTATCTCGTGAACTAGATGTCGCACGGGATTCCGTCCGCATTGTTTTAAAAAAAAAACTTAATTAGTAGCCTATGTGTTCTTCCAAGCTATTTTGTTCATCCATGCCGAATTTCAGCGAGATCCATGCAGCTGTTCTAGAGATAACTTCAAACATCCATCCATCCATCGAATCATTCGCATTTATAATATTAGTAAGATGTGGTGCGGGACGCCTAATTTTAGTCCTTTCCGCCCTTTTCTTGTAAGGAAAGCATGGTAGGAGGAAGTGGATTCCGTCAATAAAGATAGATAAGCTGCAATTGCGGATGTCTATGGGCAGTGGTCTTTTCGCTATTTCTGCGAATCCAGGTGGCCGCTTGCTTGATTACCTTCTAATAACATAAAAAAGACTAGCCCAATGGTATTTCTAGGCACAGATTAAACGTTCGTTTCAGATTTCTACATGATCTTTAGTTTCGGTTCGTCTTTATTACATTAGATTTTAATTACGTTACCTCATGCTATTATTTCTAATTTTTCAGCTTAACATCGAAGGCGTTAATGATGCCGCAGTTGCTAACATAGAAAAAAGAAGATTTAAATTATTTATTATTCTTTCAGTAATGTCACCGGTAATTGTTATTGCTGAATTTATAATAGGTGGGGAACGCATTACGCATGTTAAAAATTTCCGTGAGTATCCAGAATTATAATATGTCTATATATAATATTTAAAATCAAATGCTGTTCGTTAGTCTCGCTAAAACTCGTGAACGGCTGAACGGATTCATCTTATCTTGGTCTTGAAGTGTTCGTGGTGGTTTAGGGAAGGCTTAAAAGGTGAGAAAAATTTCTTGCCCTCCTTCCTTGAAAGATTCTATGCCAAATTTCAGCGAGATCCGTGCAACCATTCCGGAGATACCTTCAGACAAATATCCAAGTACACATTCGCATTTATAATAATTAGTAAGATTCACTACACTTTTAAAGACTTTTATTTTGTGTATTTTACAGACTTTTTAATCATCAGGAAAAACATGTATCAGTTTGCATATTTTGTAATATTAACATTGCAAGCGCAATTCTCGTTCACAATACTCAGCGTGCACACCGCGCTTCAGGCAG